AGAATGCCCCTGCCAATCCTGTCCTGTCAGTAGGTCTCAGATTGGAGGTTTGTGCTTCCCATCTCCTCAGACAAGATCCTTTCTTGGCTGAGTGACAGCACAGACAAGGAGGGACCCCGAGCTCATTCCTGTGTTTGGTCACAGCAGAAGTGCATTGAAGAACACACAATTTTTACTTTCACTCAAACAGAAGATATCCTTGCCATTAGAGTGTTAGCTGAAAGATTTCCAGGTGATAAAGGAACCCTCAGGGAAGGATTTCAGTCATGAGCAGCAGCCGACACAACGTGAAGTGGGCAATGGCTGTGGAACAGATCAGGGCACCACACAACAGTGAAAGGAGACAAATGAGCCTTTGTCTTTCCAAAGCTGAGATCTCCCCCAAGCTCTGTACCTGCTCAGCTGGCCCAGCTGCTTGGGGTGCAGAGTCAGCATCATGGAGACAAAACGAGCTCCTCGTCAGCACAGAACACCAGGTCAGGATGAACAAATCCTTGATTGGACTGAGACAGCTTCCACAAGCTCCCAGGGGCTTTTCTGACAGGTAGGAGCACGGAAGAGGTACCTTCCCATGCAGACAAGAGGGCTCTTTGTGCAGCACATGCTGTCACTGCCAGCTGTCACACCTGCTCTGCCACCGCCTCCAGAGGGACGTGTCCACCGGAGGACAAATGAAGGAGGAATTGGGTGGAAGCAATTCCCTACTTTCCCACCCCAAACGTGTTCTCTCTCCTGAGCTGGTCACCCCCACCTTTGTGGATGTGACACCTTCATAGCTTTGGTGAGCCCAGGTGCCAGGAGAAGTTCTCCACCCGAGAACACCCTGAGCTCTTGCAGCAGCCGATGGTTTCTTTCATGCCGCTCTTTTCCGGACAACTTTCCTTGGAAGGCGATCCAGCTTTTCCTTCCTTGGGCATTCGCGTCATGCCGTGTGCCTGCTGGGCTGTCTCCAGCTCTCCTGAACACAACCAGGGTTTGTCTTCTCCCTGACAGCAGGATGGGGGCTGCTCACTGCAGGAGTGTCCTCCGAGAATGCCCTCGCCGGGGCCGGAGCTGTGTTCCTTGGATGACTTGATTAACTCATTCACTGGGATGTCTTCCTAAGCAAAACCTCGGAGAGGCAACATGTGCTCAGAGCAACAGGAGCTCAAATCTGAGAGCTGCTCCCAGGGACTCATTCCAAGAGGGTCCTTCATTAACGAAGCCCTTTAAAATTGCAATTGCTTCCCAAATACGCGTGAGGAAGACGCCACAGGAAAGGTCACTCAGCAGCACCAGCCGAGTCCCAGCCCTTCTGAATTGCCAGACTAATCTCTCTTGTGTTGGATGGACATTTCCTGAATCACACAGACACTTCCTGAAATGTCCATGTAATGTTTTCTGACACATTTGCTCTCAAGGCTCAGTCCTACCAACCACATCCAGAGGAACAGCGTGTTCCCTTCATCTCCTCTTGGTTCTGCCTTGCTGATGGTTATTGTTCCTCCAACTAGTTTTGCCAAAAGCATCGTAAAGTGCTCGTACAGGTCCTGCTTTCCTACAAATCATACACAGAATCATCCAAGCGATGGTTCTGTGGTTTTCAAAGCAGCCGAAATCATCTCCTCTTCCCAAACTCGGCCACCCAAAACCCAGGCCAATATTTCTGCATTCAGGCCTGGCCACCCCGAGCCTGCTGGTGGAAGGTGGCAGGGCTTTGGTGGCTCCATTGAGAGTGTCAGTAATTCCAATTAAATTGGACTTTGGTTAGGTGGGTAATTCATCATCCAGAGCGTGACAACAGTACCTGTAATTACTGCTCATATTGCTGTGGCTGAAATTCATGTGCAATAAAGGGATCTTAATATCATGCCAAACCTCACAGTTAATTTAGGTTCCATCTCCTTTCATTTATTCTGTAATAAGCTAATTAGTTCACATAATTTGCCATCGAACGTGCCTTCGTAACAAATATATACACGAATTAGCTTATTACACAACAAATGAGGGGAACCAAGACATGAATCATTTGCAGGATTACATAAGGAATTATTGTCCTTCCCAACACCCAGACGTGCAGCCATTGCCTTTATTACTTTTAGATGTTTTGATTTGCACCGGGTTGTTCTCCTGTCTGGTGCCTCTGGCTTACTCTTCTACTTGGAAGGTCAACAGCTCATTTCACTGTTCGGTGTGTCCTGCTGCCACCTGCAAGTTCAGGATCACCTCCACGGAGGGAAATGTCTTTCAGCTTGGCTGCTGGAATCTCAGTCCTGGCAGCTGAGTGAGCCTGTCCCTCCTGCTACCTTGGAGCACCACTTGCAAGCATGTTTTGGAGCAGAGACTTGCAGATTTCCCTGGCAAAAACCTGCTTTTGGTTTGGTTTGTTTGTGGTCTGAACAACATCAACCTGTGCCCTTGGAGACTCCTGGGCATGATCTGCAGCCACTGTGCTTGGAATCTTCCAGCTCTTAAACCACACTAGATCTTAGAATCACAGAATTAAAGCTCATCTTGTTCCACCCCCTGCCATGGGCAGGGACACCTTGCACTATCCCAGGTTGCTCCAATCCCTGTCCAACCTGGCCTGGGACACTTCCAGGGATGGGGCAGCCACAGCTTCTCTAGGCAACCTGTGCCAGGGCCTCCCCACCCTCACAGAGGGGAATTCCTTCCCAATATCCCATCTAACCCTGCCCTCTGGCAGCGTGAAGCCATTCCCCCTTGCCCTGTCACTCCAAGCCCTTGGAAATAGTCTCTCTCCATCTTTCCTGTAGCTCCTTCAGCCACTGTAAGGCCACAGTCAGGTCACCCCAAAGCCACCACTTTTCCAGGCTGAACAAACCAACCAGATTTCCACCTCATTTGGGACAAATCCCAAAGGATGCTCCAACCAGCTGTGTCCTCAGCTTGCCACGATGCCCACTGGAGGTTTGCCAGACCTCAAGGTTCACACTCCACACTATAACTCCTGCGAAGCACCACAGATTCATTATCCTGCAGAATAATGGATCAGGACAGTTGGGCCTGTCTCATCCAAGTGCTTTCTGTCAGTAATTCCACACCAATTCACAGGGAAGCTCCTGAGCCACTAAACCCATCAGTTGTACTTTCTGCACTACTTACTTTGAGGCCTCATCTAACTGCTGACCTGGTGCTCCCCAGCTTCAACTATTAAATGTAATGAGAGCACAGCTCAATAGCTTTATTTGTTAAATGTTCTCTGCTCACAGCAATTGTTTTGATTTAGCATCTCACCTCCTGCAGTCATGATTTACTCTTTCCACACCCCAGTTAAGCAAGCACCTTGCTCCCAGCAGCTGCCTTTTTACCTGGAGTTATAATGTTTCCAGCTTCTAAAAATGAGCCCTCCGTTCTAAAAGGAATAAAGACATAACAAGAATTTTAGGCTGGAAATCCTCTCCAGCATTTGGATGGCCTAAGAAGCTTAAACCCAATCATAAACCTCTTGGCAGCTGCCAAAATGATCTATGGATACAATATCCAACCTTGCCAGACACTCTGCTCTGCCCAAAGGAATCAGCTGAAACCTCTCCTGGGGCTGGTTTGTTCTTCCCGGAGTTAAAGCTGCACATTTTCAGGCCGAGGAAACAAAATCCCAAGGTGAAAGGAAAACCTGCAGCCTGCAAAAAAAGCTCTGGAGGTCAAAAGGAAGCTCCTGGTCATCCTCAGTGCCCTGGTACAATCCGTTGTCCTCTGCCCTCTCCCTGCAAGAACATTGGTGCCCGTGGTGGGAGTCAGACAGGACCTCCTGGGCACATCCATCAGCTCTGCCAAAGAACTGGAGGAAAAGCAGAATTCCAGAGCAGCCAAAGTCTCACCTACTTTGATCTTCCTCTTTCCTTTATCCAACACTCATCACCAGTCAGCAGCTCCTCTCTTGACACACCAATTCCAGGAAAGAATCAAAGCATTTTCACAAACAGCCTCGTAGAGATTTGGGATCTGCCTGAGCCCTTCTGGATCTGGTTCTAAGCCTCTGAACCACCAGCAGTGTGATTCAAGGTGAGCTGCTGCGACAGCAGAGAGCAGACAAGATGCTCAGAGCAAACACTCACTGCTTTGCAACTCCCAGGTGAAAACTGGAAGTTATTAAAGTTCATGGTGTAATATGAAACTGGAAGAAAATTCATAAATTAAATGTAGAGCTCTGAATGAGTAATTATTCATCATTAACAAAACTACAAGGAGAGTTCTTTTCTCCTTCAGGAATAGATGTCACTTGCACTTCAGGAGGGCTAAATAAAACGGGGCATCCAGCCAAGAGCAAAGAAATGTGTTAAAACCAGAAACTGCCAATTAAAAATGGAAAACAATAGATGGATCATTTCAAATTGGGCAGCCCTAGGAGACCAGAGCCTCTGCACTGTGTTCCAGAGCTACAAATGCTTTGAGAACACTTCAGTTGCTGGAGTGTTTTGCCACCTGTAAAGGCTCCCCCAGTCTGAGCCAGAAGCACTTTGGTCTGCAGTGAAGAGCTGTAAAGGTGTGGATCAAGAGAGGCTCAAATTCCATGTGAGCAGCATCTCCTCACAGATGTTCTGGCCAGAACAGCTTTCTCCTCCTTCCAGCACACCATGCTCACTAGTATCATCCTGTAATTCTAGAATCAGGCCTAACTCACATCATCAGGTTCATGCATTTTAGAAGGAAATTAAATCTTGCTTAAGAACTTCAACAACACTCTCAGTTTCCTGATGCAATAAAGACCCTACTCCCAAAAATCCCTGAGATTTAGCTGATTTGCAGAGTCCCAACTTGCCCTCCCTTTCCCTGCCTCAAGAATTATTCTCTTCCTCTTCTAAAATGCACCAAAAAAAAAAAAAGTTATTCTCTCCAAATTGCACCATTTATGCAATTTTACCCCACGTGTCTCTATTCACAGTTTCACTCGTGTACAAATTCCTCTCTCCTAAGAGGTGTTTATCAAAACCTCTGCAAGCAAAAAGATGACAAACCCAACGGAAACAGAGAAACCAAATGATCTGGGAGAATCCTACCTGAAAAATAGCTATCCAGGCATATCCAATGTTATCAAAATTGATAGCTCCGTTGTGCGGGTTCACGTCCCCCGCCATGCACACGTTGTAATACTGGTTCCAGTTGATGCAGGAATTCCTGCTGCTGGAGTCGGGGTGGTACAAACTGGGGGTGTAGGAGTCCATGCTCAAGGTGCACTCCACCTTGTACTCCTTCCTGTTTGGGATGTTGGAGCACTTCTGCATCCCGTTCTCCCGGTGCGACGAGCAGATGAAGGGGTTCTCCTCCGCCTCGTCCGTGCGGTAGTAGGGGTGCAGGAAGGTCAGGTTGTAGGTCCTGGAGGGGGAAGAAAGGGAGAAATGAGAGGGAATGATTCATCCCTTGTTTCAGCAGCAGCAAAAAGGTGCTGTTTTCTGTCCCTGGCTTGGGTGGGTTCTCTCTCCTTTGCCCCTCAGCCCCACCAGACTGGGGACAGCAAGTCCCAGATGAGATGAAGCCGTGGGAGGACACTGAGGGCACTTGGGGTGTTCAGCTGGAGAAGAGGAGACTGAGGGGAGACCTCACTGCAGGTACAGCTTCCTGGGGAGGGGCAGGACTGAGCTCTGCTCTGGGGGGACCAGGGACAGCAGCCAGGGAATGGCTGGAGCTGTGTCAGGGCAGGGTCAGGTTGGATCTCAGGGAAAGGTTCTTCCCCCACAGGGTGGTTGGGCACTGCCCAGGCTCCCCAGGGCAGTGGGCACAGCCCCAAGGCTGCCAGAGCTCCAAGAGGGTTTGGATGATCCTCTGGGACACAGGGTGTGACTCTTGGGGATGGTCCTGTGCAGGGCTGAGGAGTTGGACTGGATGATCCTTGTGGGGTCCCTTCCAGCTCAGCACATCCTGTGATTCTGTGAGATACCAGCCCCTAAAATCAGCTACAAAGCTTTTTCCATCCTGTAAGGCACCAGTGATCTTCCACTTAAAGATCAGCCTGATTTTCCCCACCCAAACAGGACAGTTGAACGCATGAAACGAAAGGGTTCAGACAGAAAATCCCGGCAGTGCTTCCCAAAAATCTCAGGAAGTTTTTGTTTGTATGCAAGGATTTTGAGGCAACTCTTCTGATGCTCAGAACAGCTGATGGCAAAGCAGCTTTCCAACAAATGTGCCCCTCAGCATGTCTCTGATGAGGGAGCTGAACTTCCACAAGCAGATACCCAGTCCCAGGCCACCCTGAATTCCTTCTGCACTTCCATAAGAAAAGAAAGACACATTAAAGGGAACCCTGTGCCTCCTGCATCTCTGATTTAATTGGCTTGGATAAAGTTTATGGCTCTCTTACAGCCCAGATAAGCAGGTGCTGTCACTGCAGCATGGCAGGGATGTGGCTTTGCCCAAGTGCTGCCCCAGATCAGGGACCAGGCAGAGCCCAGGACTTTTCCTGCTGTTTGCTCAGCATTAGTGAGAGCCAGCAGCACTCCCTGCTGAAGCACTGCTCAAAATGGGAAGGTGCATTGCCCTAGAGCTGACTTTATCCACTGCTTTATCCACTTTTCCGAGCTGCAGGGATCTCAGATGCCCCATAATCATAAGATAAGGGAAAGGCACCACACAAATTACCCGAGCAAGCAAGATGTGGGGAGAAGATAAGCAGGTAATTCTTCAGGACAGGACAGCTCTATTTTTATCTGTTTCTGAATGCACCTTTCTATTGAATAAATTCAGCTCTAACTGGTGTCAAACCAGTGTTATTCCATAAAACTGCTTCAAACTGCTCCCCAAAACCCTTGAGTCAAGCAGGAGTCACTCAGTGATAAGCAGAGAACAATTGCTGCAGGGGAAATCAGCCCTGAGCAACTTTCCTGGGGAATTTGGTTCTCTTCCATCAATGAATTACTTGAGATGGGTGTTGAGAGTTAATCCAGCCTCAGGAATAGGCAAGAGGAACAAATTAGGTATTGTTGGCTGGGATTGTGTTCACTCACTATTCCCCTCCCACTGCACAGCGTTCCCACACCTCCAGACAAAGCTGTAACATCACCCTCCCTGTTTCTGAGATTTCAACTTCAAAGATGTTTTTCCTCCAGAACTGCCTGAAAGCCTTCCCTTCCCCTCCCACCAAATGGTCTCACATGAAGACATTTCCATATAAACCGAGACATTTCCATATAAACCCAGCTGAAGATCAGGCCGGGAGCTCCACAGGATCTTCTTTGCTGGAAGATCAGACACTACAAGCACCAGTTTGTCACACAGAGGGAGGTAACACAGAGGCTTGTGAAGGATTAAAACACACTGGGATTCAGGGATGTGCCTCCAGACTTTGGCAGAGACAGCTGGGAAACTTGGGAGAAGAAACAGAGTCACCCAAGAAGTGACTTATAATTCCCAAGGGGCAGAACTACAGGATCAACCCTCCTCCCACTGCAACTGGGATGGCCCTGGATGAGCCACACACACAGAGATTTGGGGCTTTGTGCATCCCATGAATCACCATTTAGGAGCCCTGGGCTGCCTGAGCCAGTGCCCTGGGCTGGGATCTAATAAGCTGAGTAGAGAAGAGCTGGGCACAAACTGCCTGGAGAACCATAAGAACAACATCCTTTGGTGTCTGTGGGAGGAAAATGGGACCAGGAAAACAAAGCCCAGCTTGGCTGTGAGGGGTGGGGGAAGCTCCATTCGGTTCTGCTGCTGCCTTATTGATTTTATCCTCCCTTTCCTCTGCCTTCCTCTTTTTTGCATCTGCCCCCCAAATAATTTATGAACTAAAACTTTCCCTATGACAGGCTAAAATCAGTCATGTGTGGGGCCACTTTCTGCCCAGCCCTTTTCAAGCCCTTCCCTCTTCCCTGAGCACAGACACACCAAGATCCTTCCCCATCTGCCTGGGGAGGATCCACACCCAGGAGATGCTCCACCACCACCAAGTGAAGAGGGGAAGGGACACATCAACTCACAGCAAACATGGCAAATTGAAGACCTTTTCTTAGCTCTGCTGCTGGAAAATCTTTCTGGCAAAACCAAAAAGGGGAAAGGAGGAAGGAGAGCAAGAATGAGAAACAGGAGTGATGTGGAATGAGGGAATCCCCAATATCCACAAAATAAATGAGTTCTCTCTGCCAAGACCCTCTACCTCCATGTGCAGGAAGGGTCAGCCTGACCTCCCTGTTACTTGCCAATGGGTAGGGTGCAAATAACTTATTAATGCTAATGAATCCATTAATGACAAGACTCTGGTGCTCTGGGAAAAAGACAGAAGAAACGAAGCCCCAGAATGGATTTGTTATCACATTAGAGAGGATTAACACCCCTTTCCCAGCCAGCTGCCCTCTGCACATCTTCCTCTGCAGCTTTGCAATGGATTCCTCTTTCTCTGTTCCTGAGCATGTTCATGTGGAGGAAAAACAACAGCGGGGCAGGAAAGTCCATTTTCTCCACACCAAAGGAATTATTCTCTGTTCCATCTGCCCTCAACCACAGTTCTCCCACTCCAACCACCCCACGCAGGACATTACAACCACTGGAGTCTGGTGTGTGTGTGTGTGCTGAGCACAATCCTGCTCCAGCTTTCTGAGGAGCAGAGGAGGAAAGGGAAAAGGTGGAAGAAACTCAGCACCGAGCAGGATTTGTTCCCTGCAGGTAGAAGCTGCTCTCTGAGGAAATCCTGCTGCCAACCAGCACTGCAGCACAGAGCAAAGCCAGCAGGAGCAATTAAGCCCCTTTCAGACAAACTGAGCTGCCTGTGCCTCCTCCCAGCTCTGCACCAGCCCAGGAGCCAAAGGCAGAACGACACCAAGCACAGGCTGGAGTTAACTCAGACTGAGGAGCTCACATCAGAACTGTCCTGCGGCACCAGAGACACTCAAAGCACTTCACAGCCCTCTCCCCTCTCCTGCTTCCAACACACTGAGTTCCTTGAAAGGCTCCAGGACTGGAAAACGCTGCTCTGCAGAACAACACAACCCCAGCAGCAACTGCCCAGACGAGCTGGGGATAACCCAGTTCCTCCCTTTACAGAGCCCAGCTCAGGAGGGCAGGAGGGAGCCAGAGGGGCTGTGTGCGACACACACATCCCAGAGATCTTACACAGAAACTGCTGGCTCTGCTCACCCTTCCCACACAGGCAGAACGAGTTTCTCTTTCACACCAGACCAACCGAAAAGTCCTTGTGGAATTCCCCCTCCAGCTCCCACTGCCCTCACTCCCAGACAGCACAGACCATCCTGGCACTGCTATTCCAAGAAGTTGTCCCAGGGAGCTCCCCAGGGCTTGAAGAGGTGTTTGAGCCACCAGAGACCTCCAAAACATCCCTCTGATCTCCAGGGCAGGGTGGGGAGTGGCAGATTCTCCCACGTCCCAAACACAAGGGACACACGTCATTTTTTGCCACCCCACTACTGCAACAGCCCAGTGACTGCTTGTAATTCCTTCAAAGTCACTACTGGGAGTCCTTAAACAACCTCCAGGACATTGCAATTCTCCAGGAGAGAAAGGAGATCTTTCCAGCGCACCTCAAAGGAGCCCCCAAACTTCTGTCAGAATGTGCTGCATTTAAAAATTGCTTTAACTTGAAGCAGCCAGCTTTCAAGGGGGATGGAGAAGGCTTCCACAGGAAGAATAATGATGGCAAAAATCAAAGTCACGTCTCCACCTGATGCCCCCAGTGAAGCTGAAGGCCCCGAAAGCTGCTGGCAGTGAGGGTGTAGGGCAGTAAGAAGCTGTATTTGAAGCACTGAGCTTGTTTAAACTTTGTTTAGTCCAGAAGATTTGGGGTTATGGCCCTTCTCTGCCTGGCCCCTGGACTGTGTTCAGGTGTTCACCCTCAGTTCAAAGCAGTTGAGGCTGGAACTGGGTGGTCTTTTAATGTCCCTTCCAACCCCAACCATTCCATGATCCTATGATCTGTGCAACAGCAGGAAGGTGTAACCCTGAAGTGCTTTCCAGGTCACTCCCTGCCTTTTTTCCCCTTTACAACTTGCTGTTGGGATGTTCAAGACCAGAGCAGGGGTGAACCATATCCCGACGCCTGGAACTATGGATTCAGGAGAACGAGAGTCAGAAGTGACAAAAAAGACCAATTCCATTTGTATTCTCCAAAACTTCCACACTGAGCTCCAAAAAACCTGGGACAGCTTCTAGCACGAAGTGGAGGGATTGGATCATTGCAGGTCTAAAGTTAAGGCAGGAAACAGCCCAAAACAGCAGCACCAGTCTGGATGATGGTACCAGAGCACCCCACATGTGTCCCACTGATCCTGCCACCAGCGGGATGGAGGAGCCATTCCCGCAAAACTCCTCAGCCTCCTTTGTCCAAACGGCTCTGGAATGCTGGAACTTCAACCACAACATCCCAGAGCATGTGGCATGAAGCAACAGGACCTGTGCAGAGCCACCCAAATCCCCCACTACCTGCTGCTGCAGGGACCCAGGGAGCAGCTCAGAGCTGTGGTGAAGGGGAGGAGGAGAAGATTCCTCACAAACCACCTCGGGAACAGCTCCCGAGGCTCAGCCCAGAGCCCGACTCTGCCTTCCCTTGACTGGGAGCAAGACCCTGATAAGAAAATCCTGGGCTGCCTTTGATGCTGCTAATGGCCATTACATAACTGCCTGCTTAATATCTCTACTTAGCAAACGTTTTCCCCCGTGGTTCATTTTTAAAAGCTCCACTTTGCAGAAAATCACACGGCGTTTAAAAACCTGGGCGAGGAGACGAGAGGGACTCAACAGGGCTAATTACAGCTCTGCACTCCTCGGGCTCCAAGCATCATACCAGCCCACCCAAGCAGAGCTCTGACACCACAATTTGGGCTTTTAAGTGATGGCTCAGGGGTTCCTCTGAGCCTGGAGGGTCTTGGTGACCAGCAAATACCAGCTGGGGGTGCAGGAGAGAGTTTGGAGCATCAAGGTGTTGGAGTGGGAACACACACTCATGGCTGGCTCGTTGATTTTCTGCCTTTCACCATCTCTGGTGGGGGGAACAAGGGCCACCAGAGCTGGTCTGCAGGACAGGGAAAGGCCTGCAAAGCTGAGAGCCACAGGACTGAGCAGTGAGAGGCAGGAGCAGGACCTGGGGTAGAGCTCAGGGACGATCTCTGCTTGTCTTCCAGACAATACGAGTTGTAGACAGCAGATGATTACACACAGATGTAATTACAGGCTCCATCTTCTCTTACAGAGTTAGAGCTGCCCTAAATAGCTGGTCTCAGGCGTTTCCTCACCTCTGAGCCACTGACATCCTCAGCAGTCTCAAAAAGAGCACGTGCTGCCCATCCCCAACGCCTGTCCCACACTGAGAGCCCTGTACAAATGCTTTTAATGCCTTTCACATCAAACTTCTTATCTTAACACACCTACAGAGACTTATCTGTGTGTTCCAGCAGCATCTCCCACCTCCCAACCCCCTGCCAGGGGTTGGGCTGTGCTCAGTGACCCCCCAGACCTGAACCACTCGGAGGAGCGGCAATTCCAAAAGAGCTGTAATCCTTCTGTTTGACCTAAATCCTTAAAATTCCCAGAGTCAGGGCTCTCAGCTTCCTCAGGCAGAGATAATCCCAACCACCACCACCCTTGTCCTTCAGGTGCAACTCCAACCCCTCAGGAACTTGCTGACAAGGGGATTTTTTTTGTCAGACAAAAAGTTCCTGCTTGGAGCTGCTGAGCGCTGGGATTTCTCCAGCAGGAGAGAGGAAGGAAGAAAAAAAGGGGAGAGTTTTGTTTCTTTTGCTGTACTTACATTGCAAAATTCCTGTCTAGGAAACACCTGTTCCTCAGCAGCCCTGCCCAGAGCTGGACACCCACAATCCCAAAGATGAAGAAGACAAAGAAGCACAAGAGGAGGACGTTGCCTAACATAGGCAGAGTATCCAACAGCAGGGTGACCAGGATTCTCATACCTGTGGGCAGAAGGAAAAAAAAAAATGGATTAGAAGAGCCCTTAATGGGAAAAAACCACCATTCCCAGCTTGGTTGTGCAGCCAGTGCATCCTGGGGAGAAAAACTGGGATGTTGATATTTTTCCCTAAACTTTAAGGCTGAAAAGGAAGGTAAAGAGTGCAAAAGGCCCAGCAGGAAATGGGAACAAACAGCACATCTCCAAAGGGTGGGATTTTCAGATGTTTCAGCAGCACTCAACGACACACAAACATGGGCAGAGCTGCCAGACAGCTTTTCCTGGGGAAACACCCCCAGGAACCATCAGCCTCTGGAGAAACTGTCAAAATATGTATTTATAAACATATCAAACATCTCTTGTGAGTCAGACAAGTTGTTGTTCCCTAAGCAACACAGAGCCTGGTGTGGGAGGATCACAGGGCCTCTGGTGTGGGCAAGTCCTCTCCCATGGAGTTCCTCCTCTTCCTCATCTCCTTGCTGGCCACAGGACTGGAAAACAGGGAAAATTTTGACTTTTCTGAGGGTGGAAAGCAGGATGTAAATGTTTCTTCCTCCACAGAAAGCTCTGCTCCCTTTCCCTCCTCCTGTACAGGCTGTGCTGGGAACCTTCCCAGTGGTCCCACACCTCTCCATGAACCTTTGGTCTCCCCCAGCACCTCTGCTGCCAGGGAAATGCTGATTTCCAGGCAAGATACTCATTCCACCTTGAATATTCCAACTCAAGGAATGAGTGAACCTTGCAGAGCCTCAGCAAACCCTGGCATCTTCCAGCATTGATTGGGCAAGGAGGCAGAGATGGGGTTGGCACTTGGGGGCTGCCCTGCCTCACACATCAGGGCACCTTCCAACCCAAGGATAAAGCAGGAGTAAAAAGGGAATAACGACTCCCAGCTCAGCAGTTCCACGGAGGTCAAAGAAACCTCTGAGACAGGGACCAGCCATCAATGAAAGGAGCAGGAGACAAAGGCAAATGCTACCTTGTGGAAAAGAAAAAAGCAGGGAGCTGAGCTGAGCCTTGGGATCCTGACGCTCCACAGGGAGCAGGGCTCAAGTTCACGGCACTGGGAATCAACGTGGGTGCTGGTGGGGATTTTATCCCACTAAAATTCCCCTCTGCAAACACCTTTGCCTGCCTGCCTTCATGGAGCCTTTTCTCTCTCCCTATTCCCTGGCAGGATGCTGCTCTCCATCGGTCATCCTGTGGGGATGGAGAGCGGCACTGACACGGAGTCTTCCTTTCCCCATCAGATTCCACCTTGGCCTCTCCCAAGCCATGCCTGACGCCTCTCCTGCTGATTCCACCATGCTGGGCTGCAGCCCTGTAGACCTCAGGGATGAGGAGGGTCTCCAGGAGAGACAAACCCCTCCATCCCAGCCCTTCCCAGGCAGTGCTGGCAGGAGCTGGAATCCCATCCTGCCGCTTCATCCTGCACGAGCCAGCGGAAATCCAAGGCAGCCAAGCGGGGCTGGAGTTGCCACCACTCTGTCAGCACAGCACGAGGGGATGGACCAGCCTGGCCAAGAAGTCTGTGCTGATAAATAATTAGGTGTGAGGAACGACCTCTGCACCCAGGGCAGGAGCCTCCCAAGGTCTCCGTGCCCAGCTGTGCCTTGGCTCCGGCACAGCTTCCCGCGGCTGGCACCGGCAGCGGATGCCTCTTCAGAGGAGCCACAGTCCTGGCGCCCAGCCCTGTGCCAGCCACCCTCCAAACCCCGTCCCTGTGCTGCCCTGGTGTCAGTGCCACCCTGCAGGGAAGGGACGTGGCAAATTCCATCCTTGGAAACACAGGGAACAGCACGGAGCACAGGGAAAGCCAGAGCTGGAGGCAAAGGGGGGGGTGATTTCCTAATGTTTGATTCCCAACTTGTGCTGTGATCATAAGCCCAGCCCTGTGCCAGCTGTGCCAGCCACTCTCCAGACCCTGTCCCCGTGCTGCCCTGGTGCCAGTGCCACCCTGCAGGGAAGGGACGTGGCAAATTCCATGCCCTGGAAGCACAGGGAACAACGCCAGCCTCGGCTCCAGCTCGGAGCACAGGGAAAGCCAGAGCTGGAGGCAAAGGGGGGGAGTTGATTCCTAGTGTTTATTCCCAACTTTTGTTGTCATCGAAGCCCCCTGGGAGCACATCCCACGGCACAGCCCTGCAGGCTTTCCTTGCAAATCTATCTTTGGAAAAGCAGAAAAGACTCACTTAATTCCCACTGGAAAGACAATGCTGGGCTTTTCTTTATTTCCCCCCGCACTCTCACTAATATCCTTGCTCTTTTTTTATCCAAAAATGGTTAAAATTTATCTCCCCGTGCCAGACAACTTTTTTCTGCTCAGCTACTTTTGGTATTTTGGGTTGTTTCGTGGCACCATTCTCGGGATTGAATCCATCTGTTCCTCATCCGCTCAGGGTTCTCCGGCCTCTCAGGGAATGTCAAGTGTGCCATGGGAAAAGAGCACAAGCATCACTTAGGCTGAAACAAGGCTCAGGATTCCTTTTCATTCCCATTCCATGTGATGCCTGGTTGAAACTACACAGTAGAAAAATAAAAATAAAGCACTGAAGTGGATTTGAAAAAAACCTCAGTGACCACTGCTAAAAAAAAATCCCGACCTGCAGCCCCTGCCAAAGATATAAATTGCAGGAATTCTATTTTTCCAGTCATTTTCAAGGAATAATTTCTAATAGAGACGATGTTTTTGTTGGCTGGGGTTCTTCTTTCTTTTCTTACCAAACAGAATCGAAATGAAATATTCTTGTGGGTGACTTTATTGTGCCTGGAAGCGAAGAGCTAACAGTGCTGGCTGCATCCCAGGAAAGCACCCAGGAATGGCAGGGATAAATCTCCAGGGGACTTCTCCAGGGTCCCTGCTTCCCTGGGTGGTGACTGACCACCAGGCTCGTCTCTCCTGACCCAGCTGGAATTTGTTGTGCTCCATGTCCTTGGGTGTCTGTCTCTGAGGCCAAAATCCTGCTCCCGGTGCTGGGAATGGCATGGATGGTGCTGACCAGGAGCTGCTGCCACACCACTGGATGGGATGTGCTGGATATCCAAGGTAATCCCTTGACTAAGCTGTAGATCCTCATGGATGAAGGACTGAAAGTGTAACTCTTTTATCACCACAAACAGCAAAAATGCAATAAAATAGAGGGATGTCACCACCCATTCCATGCAGACTTGGGATTGTATCAGTCTGAAACAGTAAAATTCCCAGTGTTCAGAGGGGATGGAGTTGGTGGCTCTTAAACAAGTGAAGGCTGTGATGATCCTCCCTCCAGGAACAGAGGTATTTCCAAGAACACTAATCCTGCCCTGGCACTGGTTCAGGACACCGGTGGTGGTTTGAGCCCAGCCCAGCTGCTCATCAAACCAGGCAACTCCTCCTCAAACCTGGGCTGAGCTCGCTGCATTGAATCTCAGGGAATATTAATAAAATAATGGAATATTTTCTATCACCTGCCTTTTGAAAAAAAAAACACCAAAAACAAAAATCCTGTGGGAAGTGCAGCAGAAAGAGCCTGAAAGGCTCAGTTCAAAGCTTCACAATCAGGGTCCTAAGGAAGAAAAATCATGAGCTTTTGGCCACAGATCCAAATTTCACCTGAACTTGAAGGCGTTGGGATTAACAGGCGTGTAAACCCTCCAAACCCCAGCTGGAGACTCCCACTGTTCCATGGGAGGGTTTCATGGATTTAGAGAACTTTCAGAGGGAGCCTGATCCTCACCTCAGCCTGGAGCCTCTGAGCCGAGCACATGCCACGTCCCTCTGCTCCAGCCACGGAGCCACTGGGCTCCAAATCCCAGAGGGAAACTTTGTGCTGTGCTTTGGGGCAGCTCTGAAACCCTGGTGACAAAACCTCACCAGGAAAACAAAAGCTCCAGAGGGGGTTTCATGGTCCCTTTCAGCCCCTTTTTGTCTTGTTTTGAACTGACCATGTCACGGCCGAAGTCACGGATTTGAGTTGATTTTTCTTTTTTTTCCCCCTCAAGAAAAATCCTGTAGAATTGGAAGTTCAGAGAGAAACTTCAAAGACTCCTGTGAGTAAACATCCATCTGTTCCCTCACATGTTCCTCTGGAACCGAAACCCTTCTGGGGGAGGTTGTTTTGCTGTCCCTGGAAGTGCCGACATGACGGGCAATTAATCCAGGCAGGATGTGGGGCTGTGCCATTCAGAAGCGCTTTCAAGAAGAACAGGAAATGCAGGAAATGTCCTTTTTTTTTTTGTTTGTTTTGCAAGGGACCTCTATGATTTCCATACAATCCCGCTGCATTTTGATTGGAGTGGAATTTGGCTGCAAGCTGATGGGAGCTCCACGGAACGAGCACCTTGCAAAGGGTTGCTCAGCGGTGGCTGATTCCGGCAGGAAATTATTTCAACTTGTTGGGTCGTCTTTCAAATTGGATTTAGAAGACAAGCAGCTGAAGCCACTTGAAAATGGATTTAGGGGCCACTTGAACTTCCTATCGTGCATGAACCCAATTTTGTTCTACATGACAGCAAATTTTAGCAGCACACGGAGGCTCCTGCTCTGCTAATCCTGAACACAGATCCACAGAAAGACCTCAAACTGCTGAGTAGGGAAAATGAACCCACCAGGGCAAGAAGATTCTTCTTAGAACTGACCTCTCCCCTTCCTTTATAGGAACTTTATTTAGTTTACACAAGGAGCAGGGGGTTATTTGCCTCAGAGAAGTCATGAACACGCTGGAAAGCAGCCACCAAAATTTGGGCCCCGGGTATAAAATCTATCCCCTTGCCCTTTGCTAACACTAATAATGGCAATAAAGGATCTCTAAAAATTAAAATCAATGAATTTGGTCTCGGCAGCAGGAGAGCAGACTACTAATACAAGCCTTAGCCCACACAGAGCAAGCTGGGATGGCTTTAGTCCCCCTGGTTTTCCAGTTTTCCCAGTGGGATGAGCCTGGCAGAGCCCAGGCTGTGCCTGCCCAGCCTGGCAGTGGTGCCAAGGGAGGGGTCACTTACTTGGGACCCTGTTGATGGCTCGCAGTGGCCGCAGGACCCGGACGGTGCGGATGGCGGACAGGCTGACGTTGTGTCCATCCAGGGAATACTCCATCATGCTGTGGGGAGAGAGGAGAGGAGCAGTCAGGATCAGGGCATGCCAGGGCACTGGGAATGCGGCTGCCTGGAATTCTTGCTGCCTGCAAGCCCAGCATTGCAAATCCACCCACTCTGTGTTTGCAGCTCTTCCCGGGCATCGGTGGATGCAATTCCTGCACCATGTGCCTGGAAGTGTTCCAGGCCAGCTGGATGGGGCTTGGAGCAACCTGGGCTAGTGGAAGGTGTCCCTGCCTATGCAGGGGGTGGAAGGAGATGATCCTTAAAGGTCCCTTCCAACCCTTACTGCAGGCATAGGTAACACATGGGAAAGCAGGACGTGCCTTCCAGTATCTGAAGGGATACAAGGAGGCTGGAGAGGGACTGTCCATCAGGAACTGCAATGACAGGACAAAGGACAAGGGGTTCAAACTGAAAGAAGAGAAATTTCAGTTCAATATACAGAGGAAATTGTTCCCTGTGAGGGTGGTGAGGCCCTGGCACAGGTTGCCCAGAGAAGCTGTGGCTGCCCCATCCCTGGAAGTGTCCAAGGCCAGGCTGGATGGGGCTTGGAGCAACCTGGAGCAACCTAGTGGAAGGTGTCCCTGCCCATGGCAGGGGGTGGGAATGAGATTATCTTTAAGGTCCCTTCCCACCCAAACCATTCCATGATTCCGTGACTTGGCATGACAAGGAGCTGCAAAGTCAGGGCCACAGAACTCAGGGCAGAGGGGGAGCCCCCAAATATCTGCTCCCTGATTCTCTTCTCTTCCAGCAGCTTATTTTACTCCAGTGGCACATCCACAGCCTTCCTGGGGAGGTGACTGCAGCTCCAAGCAGCAACATGTTCCTGCCACATCCCCCCCACCAGCACTCCACAGTATTTACACACCAGCTCATCTCCCCCACCATGACAAAAACTGAACATCCCAGCTCACAAACAACGTTGGAGCAGTTTGATTTCCACTTGATTATTAAAGGACCATTTTCTTTTTCATGCTTCATCTCCATTTCCCATAAACATTTCTCTTCCAGGCTGGGAAGGACGTTAAGTGAAGTCAGTTTTCTTGCTCTTTTATAGCAATGAGTGGCAAATGTGTGCAGTGTTGTTTTTTTAATGGGGTTATGGCTAGTTAGCATGGCTGTAATTACAATTTATGAGTCTGACTACAGGGAAACACTTGTAAATATGTCACAAATCTCTCACCACGCCTGTTCAAATAACAGAACAGCATCAAAAGCAACCCTGTGAGTGAGCTGTTGGATCCCGTGGAGAAAGAGCTTTTGTTTTGGTTTCTTTTAAATAAACAAACAGATATGGAAGGACAGAGGCAAATGGGAGCTGAACTGCTGCAACCAGGCCCTGCAGAAGCTTCAGATTTTCCACAGAAGCCAGGATGGACCAAAATCCTTATGTGCCATCAGGAAGCAACAGCTGAGTGGATTTTGGGCACAGGCAGAAGAGGTTTGGTTTCGGGCCAGCTCATCACTGCCCATGTGCCCATGCTCTGCACTGCTGGAGCCTTGCACTTTGTACTTGAAGCCTTGCCCTGCTCCACACCGTTTAATTAGGAGTATCTGGATGTTCTGATGTTTGCTTTTCTTCTGGCTTTGTCCTGGAGTTCTTTGGTGTCACACTGAGGTGAGTTTGCCCCATTCTCCCCACCTTGCTCTGCAGAGACTCTGATGATTTTGAGCTGTTTTCAGTGATAACCTTCCAGAGACATTTTTTTTTTCCTGGATTAGTTAGTGAGTCTTCAAAAATCCAACCCACCTTCCAGCCTGTACGTAGGAACTGAGCCAAATCTGATGAACGGGACCCGCTGAGGACACAGGCTGACGACTGCACTCACTGATCTTAGAGGTCCCTTCCAACCTTAATCATTCCATTACTCTAAAAGCTTCAAACCAGGCTTTAAATCTCCCGTGTGTTTGTGAAGCTGGAGCAGAGCACTGGGAACCAGCCCAGTGCCCCATGTAGGACCACACAGTGGGAAAACCATGGGAATGCCCGTTCACACCTGCACAGAGGGGTCTGGAGCCAGCACCAGGTGTTTGCTCACAACAGACCTTGCAGGAATAGGCAAAGTGTTGGTTAAAGTCCCCAAAATGAGCAGTGCCAGGGCCTGGATCTGTTCACTGCCCTGGCCCCAGGGCAGCACGTTCCCAACCTATCAGGTGGCTGAGTAAGTGGATTTGAGTGCAACTGATACAGCTTGTGAGCTCCTACAGCATGGAAAAGGAGCAGGAAATGCTCCAGTGGGAGCTGGGTTTGTACCACCACGTCCAAAATTAGCATGTTGAAGGGCCAGCTCCTGGAGCCTCACTTTAACTTGGCCCTTGGAGCTTCAGGGGAGCTGATAAAAGATGAATAATCCAGGATTTGCCCCAAGACACGGACTTTCTGACCCTGAATCTTTGGATTTCCATGATATTCCCTTTAGGATCTGAAAGTAAGACTCAGGGGGATCTATATTACCCACTGAAGCCAGCCTGAAACACTTGATGGATTCCACACTGGACTTTCTACAAGCAGCGAAACGGTCAAAGGTTTCCTTGTCAAGGTCAAGCTCGGGGTCCTGTTCTCAGATCACAGCTGTAAACCAAGAATACCTTGGAAAAGTCCGACAGAAACCTGCTGGAGCTGGAAAATTCTGACATGCTGGCACTTGGTAGGTGATTCCCTACAGCCTCTGGGCGCTGAAAAACAAGAGGCACGAGGTGTCTTCTGCCACCAGCAGCTCCCAACCCTTCAGCTGTCAAGTTAAAAGATGTCCAAAGCACATCATGGGAGCCTGCAACATCTCCAGGGAGTGGATGCACAAGAAAACCTCTCTGGTTTCAGCTCTTGTGAACAACATTCCTGATGCTGAGGAAATGCTTTCAACTTGGCTGCTGGACAGACAGAGCCGCTCCGAGCTCCCCTCGGCTTGAAATTTTCCAGGGCACATTTCTCAGGCGAGGAAAACATGAAAGGGCTTTCAGAGCTGGAACAAACTTCAGACACAATCTGTTGCTAGAGGCAGGAGATATGTTTATTTTGTAGTTTCCCTGCTCACCCTCCGCTCTCTTTGGTGTGTGGCTGGTGAGGCAAATCAGCTCCTTTGAGGAGACGGAACGGGACAAACAAAGCAGGCAGCTCTGCCTCTCACTTGTTTCCCTTCTTATCAGAAAAAGCCTCATAATAACTCCATTTCATCCATCTGCTTGCTGGAAAAAGCAGCTCTTGTTATTCCAGTAGCGTGTTCCCTGCTAAAACCACCTCCAGTTTTAGGAGTAGACACTGGATCCAAGGGTGTTGGTGGGAGAGGTGAAGCCCAGTCATTGCACAGCTCCTCCTTGTCCTCCATCAGTGCTACCAGCCAGCCCAGCTCCCAGTCCAGCCTCTCCTCTGAGAGATGGGAAGTACTATCCCAGGTATGGCTTGAATACACCAAAATCATCCGGACACAGCCCAGGATCAGCCGCAGAAGTGGTTATTCCTCTCCTCATCTCCAACATGAGTAATGCCAGACCAACAGCAGGGCTTCCCTGTGGGGTCTCCTGGTGCTTCTGCTGCTTTCATCCTTCTGAAACACATTCCAGCCATGGAGGGTGGGGAAAAGCCCAGGAAAACCACCCAACTGTTTCACTTTCCCCCTCATCCCGGGTGCTCCAAGAGCAAAGCTCCTGGTGCCAACTCCACCTCTGAGGGCTCAGCCCTTCTGCCTCTCTGTCCTGTGTCATCCTGGTTTTGGGATGACCTGTGTGATGACGTGGATGACCCTCTGCTCACCCCTCAGGAAAGCCCACCCTGCACGTCCAGCATGGGGAAAACACCGTTGGTTATGGACGCCGGAATTCTGATCCCGAGTTCTCCCGTCCAACACAGCCTCGCTCTTCCCTCCCCACTTAAACAGCAGCTTAAACACAGCAGCAGCTTTGGCAGGAAAAAAAATCATTAACTGGTTCTTTTGCTGTCCCTGATGCTCCTTCCTGGGCTGGAACCACACACGGGTTCGAAGGAAGCTCCGCTCAGGAGAGCTCATGTTTTATTCAAACATACATTCAATACAATTAGGCCATTCCTAATTGTATTCCAGACAAATAACACAGAGCAAAACAAAACTCCATTAGTGCAGTGGAGATGGTACATCACTAATGGAAGGGGAAAAATGCCCCAACATATTACAAGGATGTTCTAATTAACCCCAGGCTGGTCATTATAAACCCAGGAATTCAGAGCTAAGGCAGTAATTAAAGCCCCTTCCCAGGGGCTGCTAAGCAGGTAAGAGAGCCCAAGGTTTCTAAAGCCATTAATTTATTGGAAAAAAAGTTTTACACTTGCCAAGCTTTTAGTCCACTCAGTTATTCCCTGTGGGTGTGAGGGAACTGGTGTCAAAAGCAACAGGATCCTCCTTGTACCTGTTTGTTAACACATCCTGCAAAAATGAGCAGCTGTGGGAGATGGTTTTCAACTGCAAATCAAGAGGAGTTTACAGGAGGCATTTGCATGCACTTGTAATTTGGGTGAAAGTCTGGCCAGCTCCTTCCACTGGGATTTCAACTTTCTGAACCAGAATTTTGGGTTCAGTTCTCCTCATTTGTCCAATTCCTGCCTCCCTCTGATGGTGTCCCAGCAGGAGTAGGGCTGAGCTGCTCTGGGTTTTTTGGTTTTTTTTGCCTGATATTCATAACCCACCCCAAAAAAAGGAAAAACAGGAATTATGAGACTTTGCCTTGGCTTGAGCCTTCACAAAACATGATGAAAACCAGCCAGGCCAACCTACAGGTTTGGCTTTTTGGGGTTTTCTTACTTTTCCCCCTCGAAGAACAAACCTTGCTGAGGTTTTTACTGACCCTGCCATCACGATGAAGAAGTCCAGGCGATTCCACGTGTCTCCAAGGTAACACTTCTGCCCGAAGATCCCCAGGGCCACCATCTTGATGACCATCTCCACCGCAAAGAAAGCGAAAATGAAGTCGTCAAAAGCCTGGAGAGCGGGACAAGACAGTCACAGTCAGTTCTGCTGCGCTCTGGACTCGGGCAGAGCAGAGACCCCAGTGCTCCCACCACGTGGCCACTCCATGGACAGGCTGGTGAAGCACTGCCACCAAAGTGCCACCTCCCAGCTCCAAAATAAAACCTGCTGCACCTCGTGGGTGGTGGCAACCCCTGAGTGTAGCTCCTGGGTCAGTCCAGTGCCTGGGAAGTGTCAGCAGCTCTTATTCATCTAGTGATAAATCTATATGGACATCACAGCCCCTCTGCTCTGGAGCCAGGCTGGGAGAGCTGGAAGGGGGTTCAACTGGAGAAGAAGGCTCCACGAAGACCTGAGAACCCCTTCCAGGGCCTAAAGAGGCTCCAAGAGAGCTGGAGAGGGACTGTCAGCTTTACCAACCAACCTTTCCCTTAATAAACTCCACAGAAGTTTTGTTCCATTATTTCAGTTCATTTAATAACTGGCATCCAAAAGCCTCCATAAAGAAGTTCAGGCTTTTCCACCTCGTGTTGTGGCTTCCACTCCCTCCTGCAAGCTGGGACAGGGGGAGGGATAATGGTGGTTTTACTCACAGCCCTTTTCTGCCTGAAAACCTGTCAGGAAGTCCCCATGACCAGGTTGGACGGGGCTTGGAGCAACCTGGGATGGTGGAATGGCTCCCTGCCCACGGCAGGGGGTGGGAAGTGAATCTTTAAGGTCCCTTCCAACCCAAACCATTCTGGGATTCCATGAAGGATCTTGCTGGCTGGGACACTCAAAGAGAGGTAAAGCAGCAGATCCATGTGGGATTCAAAGGAGCTGAGCACATGGTAATCCCTGCCTGGGCTGATGTCATGCTTTGGGAACACGGCAGGTTGGTTCCCAGCCTGAGGAACGAGTTGCTGCAGGAAACCCAGTGCCAAGGTGCAGCCCACACACCAGATGCTGCTGGGATGTGCTTCCAAACCCAATCCTGTGGGCAGATGGCAGTGAGGGCACTGCCAGGAGAGGGAGGAGAGACCAGCGGGATACCGGGCATGGCCAACCAGGGGCTGGGATGCACCTCCCAAAGGTCACTTATCCCGGGACCTGGCAGTGCTGTGCTCCAGCTGGGGAGCTCTGCTGTGCAGGAGAGCAGGCACGGGCTCATCCTGGGCTCTGTTGTTCCTGAAGGAGGGAATGGAGTGGCAAAGTCCCCGGTGTCACATGGCACAGACTGGACTGCACAAATCCAAGAGGTGGAACTGATGGACTGCAAGGGGGAGACTGGCCATAGAATCCCAGAATGGTTTGGGTTTGAAGGGACTTCAAAGATCACCTTGTTCCACTCCCTGCTGTGGGCAGGGACACCTTCCACTAGCCTAGGTTGCTCCAAGCCCCATCCAGCCTGGCCTTGGACACTTCCAGGGATGGGGCAGCCATGACTTGTGTAATTAAACAGTGTTTAACAACCCCAGTGGGAGCTGGCTGTCCACTTTCGAGTCCCCTTCCCTTATTAAGTGTGCAGTGAAAGGATCTTGCTGGATCAAGTCCCAGTCAGCCTTTGGGTCTTCCCAAGGCCATGGCAGCAGGTTTCCCTGGAGGTTTTGCCTGAGGAAGTGTGGCTTCTTGGGAAAACCATCTTGGGAAAGGCTTTCAGGCTGGATCTTGGGGAAAAGGGACAAGAGAAGGGTCCACCCTGCTCCACTCCACCCATGCCAGGCACACAGGGCAGGGTGGGATCCTCACCTCCAGGATGGTGCAGCGCTCTGACTGGCACTCCACGTCCTCGCAGGGCTGGAACATGCCCAGGGTGACGCAGTTCAGCAGGATCACCAGCATGCTGACGTGCTCAAACCACCTGGGAGCAGGGTTAAGGACAGCACAGGCTTTGGGAGGGGGGAGCCCGAGGCAAAGAACACACCAAAACCCCTTCTCCCATCCAAACTCCTTCTCCCGGGACAACTTCCACCTCCAGATCTCCCAGTTTGAGCAGTGGATCACCCAAATCTTTCCCTATTAAGGTAAAGAGAGCAAACAAAGGCACCACAACCACCAAGACCCAGCCTGTACCCAATCCCTTGCTCCATCCAGTGAGGCCACTCTCCTTGTTTCCCTCTGGAGTCACAGGAATAGGGGCTCAGTGCAGGTTGTCTCCTTCCAACCTGGGTTGGACATCTCAAGGAGTTACAGATTCCCCTTTTGGGATCTACACCATGCCCAAGGATGAAGGTAAAACAGAGCCAAGTTGGTAGGGCCAAGGATGGCAACATTTTGGGATACAGGATGTAAACCAGGACCCACCAGTCCTCACCTAACAGTATCCAAGTAGTAAGTGGTGATTCGCAGGAGTGTAAAATAGCCCCAGAGCTGATGGTTCCTGCTGCTGGGAGGACTAATAAAAATCATTAGAAAAAAAAAAAAGATTTGGGGGGACTGAACAGGAGTTTCACAAATTGAGTATGAATGAGGCAACTGTTTTAGGGAAATAATTGGAAACATCTGGGCATGAATAAACCTTTTTGCTTCCAAACACACACACATATGTGTGAGAGAAGCACACAGACATTGTCTTATTCCTGAGAACAGCAATTCTGCTTTGGAAACTTGGGATGGAAAAGAGACAAAAGCAAACTTGTGCTGCCTTTGAAGGAAAGGCTGAAAAGGTGGAAGAAAACCCACTGCAGGGAACAGTTTTGCTTTGGCTGGAGAACAGACTGAAGAAGGAAGCCCCTGCTCAGGGATTCAGTGTTTCTAGGGATGCTCCTGTCCTGTCATTCCCAATCCCCTCCCAGGGGATGTGCTGGAGGGGTCTGAGCTGAGATGCCCCGTCCTGCTCAGCCCCTCCAACCCACCTTCTCCTCTTGCACCTCTGGCTCCCTCAAAGGCTTTAAGCTCCTGCCCTATTTATTTTCCCATCAGATTAATGACAGTGAAATCCCTAATTGGAAAGCAGGATTACCCCGAGGGCTCTGCCCTGACGGGACTAATCCTCCCTCCCGCCGGCGCTCAGACATCCAAGGGGATTTCAGTTCACTGCCCCTTCCTCACCCCAGAAGCTGGGACTGAACCCCTGAGTGGCTGCTCTTCCAGAGCCCCCCCAAAGCCATCCAGCCCCAAAGCAAAACCCTGGGCAGCAGGAGGTGATGCTTTTGGCAGGGTGGGATTATAGTTCCCAGCATCCTTCCCACAGAGCCTTGGTCAGTTTGGAATGTCCCTCAAGGAAGAAAAGTCCCATTCTGGTCTAATGGGAAGACACTCAAGAGGAGAAAACAGAAGAAAAGGTGACAAAAGTCCTCCAAGAGCAGCTCAACACCAGCCCAAACAGAAGGATGTGGCTGGAGACAGAAGTCCCCTGGCACAGAAGCCTTGTGGATGTTCCCACACACCTCGTCCAGCTGTTTTACAACCAGGAGGTCAGGGAAGGCGAGGGATGGTCCCACCAAGCTCAGCCCCACGGGCTCTGCTCACAGCCCCTGCTGGCACTGGGATCCTCCCGGGATCCTCCCGCTCCTCCCTCCCCGGCAGATCCGCTAAAACCGTGACTCTGCAAAACTGGGAACTTCGGAGGAGTTACCATGGTAACCACTGCTCTGGAGGCCACGGAAGCACCACCCAGTGTACCAGCAGCAACTTCCCAACTCGCTTGGAAAGGGAGAAGATGCCACGGGGAGATCCAGGTGAAGCGCTGGAGGCAGAGGGAACTGCAGAGGGGTCGCTCGACATCCCTCCCTCCGGCACAGATTCCAGGGAAACGACCTCCCAGGTGCAACTGGGCCAAGCTGAGATTCCCCAGATGCCCTTTGGGAAGGAGTTGGGGAGCAGCAGAGCCCCAAGGGGCTGCTCCCAGTTCCCAGCACGGCACCGTGGGGTCAGCACCAGCCCCTGGACTAAAATTTAATCCTGAGTTTAACCCAGTGGCAGCGCAGAAACCAGGGTCTGCCCCAAAACACTGCTGTTGGTGCAGTGAATGATGCTGATGCTCTTCACCAGCTTTCCAAAGGGTTTTACTGAAATCACCTCAAAGACCAGTGGCTTGAGGATGAAGAGCTCTGGTTGCCAGAAGATGCCTCAGCACGGGCAAGACCTTTCCTTTCCTCTGCTGTGCCAATTTAGCTGGTGAGGCCCTGACTTGGTTTAAAAAGAGGGATGGGAATTCAAGGGTGTGTTGGAGGAATTTCACACATTTTAGTCAGCAAAACAAGGTGGAGAATTCCTGTTTCCAGCAGACTTTCACATCATAAAATAGTGTGGCTTGGAAGAAACCTTTCAAGGTTCCTTTAAAGGAAGGAAGGAAGGAAGGGACACCTTCCACTATCCCAGGTTGCTCCAAGCCCTGTCCAACCCGGGATGAACACTTCCAGGGATGGGGCAGCCACAGCTTCTCTGGGCAACCTGTGCCAGGGCCTCCCCACCCTCAGTGTAAAATCCTTACACATCTATAAGGAGATTTTCTGATCTGCAGGTCAAAATTATTATTTAAAACTTAAAACTTCTCTTAAATAGAAAAATGAAAGGCAAATGAACTGCCTGTCTTGTTGGAAAGGTCACTTCTCAACATCTCTTTTTAAATTGCCTCAGTACAGACCAGGCTGCCAAGCTTCAACCCTGGTCTGTGCCTCATTCCCTCCCCTTCAGTCACCTCCCCACTTCAAATAAAGCCCAGAAACCTCCAGTGATGTGGGTCCAGGTCAGGCTCAGCCACCCCAGAACCCAGACAATCCCTTCCCCAGGCAGTTCAGCCACGCTGCTCCTCCCCATTCTCAGGCAGATAATCTCTCACACCCCTCACTCGAATTCTGCAGATATTTCTGCAACAAACACAGCAAAAAACACTGGGACTGTATTCCCACTGTGCCACAAACTCCATTGCTTTCATCCCTTGCCTTGTAATGGCAGTGCTTAAATTCCCAGGTCCTTCAGAGAGATCAGCCACAGCTTCATTTAAAGTTCCCCAACCAACCCCAATCCCACCCCTGATTTCCAGGCTGGAGAAAGGCAGGAGCCACAGGACTCCCAGCAACGGAACCATGGCAAGACAAGCTCACAGTGCTCACTATTTTCACATAATCTTATTATTTTTAAGCCAGTCAGGGGATTTTGGAGCCTGAAACCATTATTTTAAATGCTGGGATTTGGCAGGATCGTGGTTATTCCTGTTCTATCTGTACCTACTGCACACGGTGCTGAGGAAGAACCCAAAGCCAGAAAAGTCAAATTATAGTTACAAGGGGAACATATGTTTACAGAGGAAGCAGCTAACTGAAGTTTCAGTTTTTATAGTTTAAGATGTGACTAATGCACTAAATATACACACAGACAGACACACACATACATATATATATAAATATATATATATACACACACATATCTGAGAGAGACTGGGATTTTCAGAGCACTCAGGGGGGACTCCATGGGCTGGGAGGGCTTTTCCTTAATCAGGGTCACCTGAAAGGTTTGGATACCCATGGGAAGCTGCTCCAGAGCAGAAATATTGAAATAAAAGTACTAAGTGCCTGTTTTACCAGTATTTAGGTGCATTGCCCAAATCCCAGCAAATTACAGCAATCACACTTCCTGTTCCTCCGTGCCACCAGTGACAAAAACAACTTTAAAACCTGCAATATCCACCTCATCTTGTAAGAGAGTAACAGAGAACAGTCCAAACTTAGTGATATTTGGTAAATAGGAGCAAGAAAAAAAAAAAGAGGAAAAAAAAAAAAAAAAAAGAAAGTACAGAACTGGAAGAAAAATGAGTCAGAATAAAATTCCCAAGAGGCAGCGCTGGCTGGTGCTGGCATAATTTTAAGGAACATTCTTATTTTTAAAAAGTTGATTGATTAAAAAGCTATTTTTAGTGCCCACACTGCACTGGATCATTCGGGTTCGTTTGCTTAGGAATTGTAAAACAAAACGAGGCAGCTGCACTTCAGCAATATTGACCTCCCCAGCAGCACCCCAAACACAGCCCAGGAGCAACATCTCAGCCCCAAAGGCACCAAGCTGGAACAAGACTTTGGAGATGGGGCTGGTTGCAGAGAATTCTGGTTGAAGGAAGGATTAGCCTGAGTTACTGCAATAATTCCATCCCACTGGTTTGTTATAGAAGAACCATCATGGGAATCCAACTTGGTGGATCTTGAGTTCTGCTGGTCTGGTGCAGGATGTGCTTTTCTTCCCCAAATTGGGAATAAATCCCTTTGCCTTGCACAAAGATTATCCCTGGAAGTGTCCAAGGCCAGGCTGGATGGGGCTTGGAGCAACCTGGGCTAGTGGAAGGTGTCCCTGCCCATGACATGAGGTGGAACTGGATGAGCTTTAAAGTCCCTTCCAACCCCAAGCAATCAGTGATTCGGTGACTGGGAGCTGATTTTGGGGCAGAGCTCCTGGATTTGGCCATTTTTGGCTGGAGCATGGCAGGTTCCAGCCCTGAGCATCCCAGATGTGCCATAGGTGTCACAGCCAGGACATCCCAAACCTGGAAAACTTCCCTGTTGTGATGTCCTTCATCATGCAGTGCAGAAAGAGAATCATGGAATGGGTTTGGTTGGAAGGGAACTTAAAGATCATCCAATTCCACCCCCTGCCCATGTCCTGTCCAACCTGGCCTTGGACACTCCCAGGGATGGGGCAGCCACAGCTTCTCTGGGCAACCTGTGCCAGGGTCTCACCATCCTCACGGGGAAGGATTTCTTCCCAATATCCTACCTAAATTTCCCCTCTTTCAATTTGAAGCCATTCCCCCTTCTCCTGTCATGACAGTTCCTGATGGAAAGTCCCTCTCCAGCTTCCTTGTAGGTCCCTTCAGGCCCCCCTTTTCCAGCCTTAATGATTCCATGATCCTGTGATTGCTCTGAAGCC